CAGGTACTGTTCTCTGGGCAGTGGCCCTGTGCATGCAGTGGGGTGCTGCCTTACCAGCTGGCTGTGGGACACCAGAGGGAAACCAGCAGTTTTCAGGAGCATTCTCTGCTTGGGGATTGCAGGAGGGAGATTTTGGCCTCGTGCTGTGGTGGTTTGGGGGGTCTGAGTGGTGCTGAGAACTGGTGGTGCCACTGGGTTGTGAATGACAATCACAGGAGCTGTGCCAGGCTCCTGGGAGGACACGAGGCATCAGCCTCTCCTTCCTCCCAGTCTCTGCATTCACACTTCTGCTGCTGGGAGTACTGGTGGGGTAACGAGTTTTTTACAGTGCTGTCTCCTAGAGCAGCTGAGTGCAGTAGCTAATTAGCAACTGGTCTAATGGATGGTGGTACAGGAGCCGGGAGAGAGATGTGCAGGCTGGAAAGGCACTTCCCCTCTTCCCTGTGCTAGCCCATGGAATGAGAACAGCCCCCACCCCTGCTATTCTGATGTGGGGAAGCACAGAGCTTCCAGAGCAAGACAGAACTTGTGGTGACCAAACTTACTGACTGGGGGTAAACAACATTCTCAGTCAGCATCTGAAAGATAACATGGAACACCAGTAATTTCAGAGCTGATTTTGGGTTTTGGCAGCCACTGAAGTGTGGTGAGATGCTGGGGTTCACTTTTGTGTGGAGAAGGGAGAACCTGGGATCATCCAACAGTTGGAGCTGGGCTGTTCATTCACAGCCCTGTGGTTGGAGCAATACTGTGGGTAGGGTGAACCACTGTCCTAAAAATGCAGGACGTCCTCTCCCTTCTGCATGAATAAATGATGGATGAAATGACTGCTGTATTGTAAATGGAATTTATAATGTTAATGATATAATACAGTCTCTTGCCACAACGGGTCCATTCCCAAGTAATATAAAAGGTCTCCTTCCTTGTCTTTTTAAGCTGCTTGGAAAGGAGCCCAATGCCTTATTCTTTAGTGCAAATAAATGTGAGCTAAGCAGCCTTGGACATCCAATATCGCTGACACGAGACCTCCTCACCATATGTACCTGTCTGCTCTGGCCTTGGCTAATTTGCCACCAACTCCCAGGAAAAGCATGATGGAAGTGAAGGTGGTTTGAGAGCACATCACATCTGTTTTTGGGAAAATGGAGAAAACCTTATTTTAAGGCCCAACAGGCTGCACTGGTGCAGCTGTTCAGTGTCGTCACTGATTTCACTGTTGCATAAAGCAAGAACTCCCTTTGCTGCAGAGGAATCCCATCAGTTTCCCCCTCTGTTTTTATCCATGAAGTGATGCAGAATGGGGTCAGGATGGAGCTTTTGGAGCCTGGTATTGTTGCTGACCAGGACAAATGGGTGGGTTTAGGCTTTCCTCACACGTTTCACCCTGCAGTGAAACTTGTTACAACACGCAGGGAATCAAAATGCCAAAGGAGCCTTTAGGAGGGTCTGAAGCTTTTCTCTGCATCTCAAATCAGGGTGTGCTTTTTTTTTTTTTCTTTTTGCCATTTTCTATGTGATTGTGGCCAAACTCCAGCTCCCTGCCAGCAGGGCTGAGAAGAGGGGGGATACAGAGCTCTTCAAAACCCAGCTCTGCTCTTGTTTCTGAGCGAGAACACTCAGCTCCTCCTTTATACTTCATTTTATTTACATTTGAGTCTTTTCATGAAAGCCAATTACAGAGCAGAACTGGGAGGTGAGACCGTATATTTTACTCCCACTAAAGTGTTGGTTCTCTCCTCCAGCCCCCGCAGGGCTCCTTAGGAGTCCTTAGGAGTCACTCCTGCAGATGAGATGTCTGCTCCCTCATCTTTGAAAACCCAAATAACATACCTGGGAAGTGCCAATGGAATTCTTCCCCCCCTCCTCCTTCTGTCTCCAGCTCCCAGGGACTCTTGGTTTAACATTTTACATCGGGCAGGTTTTTGTTGCCTTGGGGCTTTTGGTTATTCAGATGTGCTGGTGCTCTAAATAGTTAAAATCAGAGTAGAAATTTGAGGTAAACAAGAAAAATCAAAAGCTCTACTTCTGCTGTTTGGAGAGGTCACTTTTTTGCAGACAGAAGTGTAATTTAAAAACTTTTTCAAGGGAATCAAATGCTGGTGACAGGATGCACATGGAGGCTCTTGAAAGAGTGCAAGTGGCTTTTCTCAGAAAGAGAAGTACCTTTTGGTTAACCTTTCTCCAAGTAAAGCATCAAGCTCATTGGACAACTTCTCCCATTTGGAAGCATTAACTGATGTACAAATGTTTGTATCTTAAAGAAGATGAACTTTGGGATCTGTGGGTACTTGTTGTGATGGTTTCTCTGTGTTATTTCAATAATGCTCAGTTCTCTTTGTGCAGACACCCCTGTGCTAACAGATGTCTGCAGTTAATGGATCTTCAGTGCTGAAGCTTTCAGAAGCTTCAAATTATTTTCTTAAATACCAAATGTAAGTTTTTCTGTGAGAGGTTTTCTTTTCTGTCTTGCAGTGGTTTGTGTTATGTGATTTCAAGTTCTACAGCACGTTGGGACAAGTCAAATGCTGTCCTGATGTCCCACACATGGGGCTGGCTCTGTGTCTGAGCTGTAGTGCAGGCAGAGCCATGGGAGGGACATCCAAAACTCCCCCCTGCTCACGGCCTTTAGGCCATTTGATTTCTTCTGTGGGGTGGAACATGTGTTTGTTCTTTGCAGTCACTGATTCAGAGGGTTTTGCTTCTGCACGACTGGGAAGAGCCCAAGGATGGTGCCCTTGGTGTGGAGGGTGGGCTTGTGGTTTTGTTCCCCAGCATTTTTCAGGTGTCCTGTGGCACAGCTGCAGGAGGGTTTGTGCTGCAACCTTCTGCTTCTGATGGGAGTCACAGAACCATCCACTGGGCTTTGGTTATAAAGCAGGTCCAGGGCTGAATCTTACTGGTATTCAGGGCTCATAGGGAGGTGGTACCATCTCTGGAGCCGAGTTTGGAAGCCAGTGATGCTTTATTTTAAAAATGTCTAGCTGAAGATGCCCCTGCTCAGTGTAGGGGAGTTGAACTAGGTGACCTTTAAAAGGTCCCTTTCCACTCAAACTGTTCTATGATTCTAAAACCCCAGAGCCAAACAGCCAACACCCAATCAACCCAGAGAAAATCCCCAAACCTCAAAAGGTCTAGTGCAGGGGTCTATTGCCTTCAGCAGTCTTCATTCCTGGGCTGTTCTGAGCTTTGTTGTGCCCTTCTGAGGTTATTTTCTGCAGGAATTTGGTGCTGCTGCTTGGCACGTTCCTGCTTGCATTGCAATAAACGTGAATCTGCTGGGAGCAGAGCTTGTCTGGGATATGGCTTTATGAAACAGTAAATTTTCTGATGCTTAATCTAATATTCTAGAGAAAAACACCAGTCCAGGGAAAGGAGAATGTTGCTTCACCTTCCAGAAGTGCCATTAGAGATCTTGATCTTGTTACGGCCTTTTCTCTGCTATTACTTGTACGAACAGTAACATGATGATTTAAATCTGTGGCAGTGAGGAAGTACAAAGAAAAGCAAGTGTTGATACCAACAGAGAGTGTTACAGACAGGGAGGCAATGCTGGGGCCAGCCCACTTCCTCAAGGATCAAATCTCAGCAGGGGGAGTTTAACCCTCTTTTATTTTATAAGCCCTGTGTCCTGCCTTTGTGATGTTAAATGCTGCTCCAAATGTGCACCAGATTTGTGTTGCTCTTTGAAGTGACAGTGGAGGCTGAAGCCTGGACTGTTTGAAGCTGCTGGGCTGGCTCAGGGAGCATCCTGGAGTTGGGATGGGGACCAAGGGCTGCTCACCTGTCAAGGAAATCCAAATCTTTGGATATGATAACACCAAAGCTCTTGTGTTTGTGACGTTCCCGTTGTTCTGACTGAGTTACATCATTTCTTGTCTCTGGTTTCTCCTGCCTTTGCTTATGCACTTGGTTGCAAATGCCTCCTCAGATAGGGGCATGTTTGTGAGCCTTAAATAAGTTATCTAGTCCCTGTGATCTCTATACTGAAATTCTAGGCTGACAAAATAAAGAGCATTGTCTGCAAAAGGTGCATCATAGCACCAGCTGGAGGCAGGGGGAGCTGGAATGGGACTGGGACAGCTGAGGTCCCCCTGGAGAAGCAGCCTTGGACTAGCCAGCCTTCTCCTGCCACAGACTCATTTGGAAATGGCCTTTCCACACAATACCAGTGCTTAATGCATCACCCAGGCTTTGTTCGTCATCTGCAGTTAGTAGTCTAACCTAGGTTCAGCAAAGTAATTAGGAGAAATAATTAACAGCTCTCAGTGATGAGGCAACCTCTCTCTCCCTCCCCTCTCCCTCACCATGTGGTGCACCTTGGTAGTGACTCAGAAAACACAAGAGGACATTATGAATCAAAAAAATAAGTCTTTACCTGTAATTAACTGTGCACACAAAAAGGAAAACGTGGTGATCAAGCAGCCATTAATAGTTGCTTTACTGGAGGAGAATACACCAGAATCAAATGCTCATGGCAAAATGTCCCTTTAAGTTGTGGTTCTGTTATAACATTTAATCCAAACAAAAATAAGTCTCTACCAAAAAAAGTATTTGAACCGTACACTATTCGGACATGTGTGGATAAGACACTGCACTCCTCACGTACCACGGGCCTCGTGGCCCCTGTGTCCTCCATAAGTGCAAGAAAACAAAACCCAGCAATGAAAATACAAAATCAATGCAGCAACTAGAGTTGTAGGCAACAGTATGTGCGTGGCCCGGCCAGGCCGATGGTGGGATGTGGGACTATGCAGCAGGGATGGACCAGAGTCCCCCCTTCCCTCCCTCCCCTTCCCCTGCCTGTTGTGTCGTGGGGCTCCGGAGTTGTCATGACAGGCTCTTTCGAAACAGGACACTAAGAGGAGGAAAAATAAAAAGAACACCCCAGCCTATACCAAAGTAAAGAAAGTAAGAATAAAAAAAATCTCCCTTGGATCGCGGCACTATTTCAGCAGGGCCCCGGCGGCCCCGGCCCCGGCTCGCCCTGTGTGGGGCAGGGAAGGAGAGTCCCTGTGCAGAGGGAAGGATGTGCCCACGCCCCTGGCACAGGCTGGTGCAGTCCCCACACTCCACAGCCGGCTCTGGGCTGGGCCACCCCGGCTGGGCAGGAGCCAGCCCCGGGTTCTCTGCGGATACCTCTGCTGGGAAAGTGGGCCCAAAGTTGTGCAAGTCCTAGCGTGAAGGAAGGCGGAGGAGACGGTGGGGAGAGCCACCCGTTACCTGGCTCCCAGGTCCCCCTCGGGCGACGTGCCTGGGCTGGGCCCCCCGCCCTGCGGGGTCAGAGGTCCCCCCAGGCGCGCAGCTGCAGGGCCAGCACCCCCAGGGCGACCGTGCCGAGGCTGCCGCCCACACCGGGGGCACCGTCACAGTCCTTCTTGTCCACTTCACACCTGGACTGCTGGCACAGCACCCCCTTGAAGCCCACGGGGCAGATGCAGCGCTGGTTCTGGTAGCAGGTGCCGCCGTTCTGGCAGAGCAGGAGCTCGTCGTCGCAGACGTTGGCTACGAGGCGAGAGGAAGGGTGTGGGTGTTAAACCCCTTGACTGCAGCAGGAACTAGAAGCTCTTAGCTCCTAGTGGTTCAATTATCCAACCCTCATAGTGCTAGAGCACTTCCAAGGCCAGAGGAACACAGTGGGAGGTGCAGACTCCACAGACAAAGCTACGAAGTTGTTTTGGAGTTGGGACGAATGGCAGGAATCTGCTCACCCTCCACCCCGAGCATCCCAGTGCTGAAGATCCCCCTCCTGCCTGGACCCATCCCCACGTCCCCGTGCCTCTCCAGCCCCGGTACTCACGGAAGCAGCCCTGTCTCCAGTAGTAGTTGGGCAGGCAGTCGTCGCACTTGGGCCCCGTGGCGCCTTCCCTGCATTCACAGTAGCCGGTCTCGTTGCAGCGGTCGTGCATGGAGCCGATCTGGTTGCAGTTACATTCTGGCCAGAGACATTCTGGTCAGAGCCTGCCCTGCCTGGGGCCTCTGTGCATGCCCATTCCCTGAGGGAGGCACTGGGGACTTTGGAAAAGCCCAGCAATGTGCTACAGGAGGGGCATTACAGACCAAGGAAGGACATGGAGGCCTGAGACACTCTGATGGTGCAAACAGCCATGGGTGCAAAGAACACCCCTCTTTGGAGCTGAGCCCCTCCTGGCTCAGCAACGCATCTGAATCCAGTTGGAACAATTGTTTTACTGTGAGGGTGGGGAGGCCCTGGCACAGGTTGCCCAGAGAAGCTGTGGCTGCCCCATCCCTGGAAGTGTTCAAGGCCAGGTTGGACAGGTCTTGGAGCAAACTGGGCTAGTGGAAGGTGTCCCTGCCCATGGCAGGGGGTTGTAATGAAATTATCTTTAAGGCAGATCCCTTCCAACTCAAACCATTCTGTGATTCTGGATATTATCTGGGGTTTGTTTTCAGGGAAGAGCTCCCTTGGGAAGCTGCACAGACTGTAATAACCATCATCTTTGTGGAACACACAGGTGGGCACACCATCCTCCGGACAGGGGCTGAACCGAAGCCCACCCCACAGAGCGAGGACCCAGATGAGCCATCCCCCAGGCCGGCGGCCCTGCCCGGGGCTGGCACACTCACCTATGCAGACATTCTCGTCGTCCAGCTCGGCCGAGCTGTTGCGGTAGAAGCCCAGGCGGCAGTGCTGGCAGTGCTGCCCCCGCGTGTTGTGCTTGCAGCTCACGCAGGTCACCACGTTCAGAAAGTCGATGTAGCTGCAGCGGTTGGAGTGCCCGTAGCACTCACAGTCTGCGGAGAGGACGAGAGACCTGGGGAGCCGGGCTGGGCACACCCTCCCTCCCGCTGGGCGGAGGAGAGGAGCCACACCGGGGGATGCTCCTGCTCCTGCCCGGGTGGAATGTCATGGCCACTGCCCACACAGGGCTGGGCTGGGCAGGATGAGTGCACACAGTGGTGGCTGTTCTTCACCACCATGGGGGCATCAGGGCTGGAAGTCATCGCTCAGAGAGTAGAGCAGGGTGAGGGTCTCTGTCCCCCTGGGGTGTGGAGACAGACCCTGGCAATCCCAGGACATGATGTCTGAATGGGCTGCCCAGGGAAGTGGTGGATTCTCCATCCCTGGAGGTTTCTAAGATGAGACTGGATGTGGCACTTAGTGCCATGGTCTAGTAACCATGGTGGTAATGGAACAAGGGTTGGACTTGAAGATCTTAGAGGTCCTTTCCAACCTGGCTGATTCTATGATTCTTTCAGGAACTGCATAATTGTGGGAGCAGGCAGTGGAGTCAGGTGCTAATTACACAGCTGCCTTGTTAGTGAGCAGAGCTGGGTTTGGCTCTGGGGAGGTTGCAGGACCCATGAGGAGCCAGTCTGGTGAAGCCTTTGCCTTGCTGGGCACAGAGGGCACTGGCCCATGGGATGGAGCTGGCAGAGGGTGCTCAGGTGGACCTGAAGCTGCTGTATGTCCAGGTAAAACCTTGCTGTCTCTGGCTTTTTTCCCTCTGTGTCCCTTCTCAGCACACCCCTTGTGTCTCCCAAGCCAATGCTGCTTGAGAAGGGTGATGACTCTCAGGTTAAATGCTTAAAATGAGTCTGTGCAAGGCAATGTGGCTTGGGTGGGGTCCTTCAAAAGCTGGTGGACACGTGTGTGAAGGTTTGAAGCAGGGCTGCCTGGCACAGCTGGTGGGGTGGGAGATGCCACCGTCACTTGGCCAAGCGCTGCTCCTGTCCCCAGGGCTGACCTCTCTCTGCTGTGGGCACATGTTAGAACACAACCAGCCAGGCTGAATTTGTAGCCAGAGGAATTGCATGATGTGGTTCTTGTGTTTGCTTTTTATTACCATGACCTGGGACGGTGACAACCTTGCAGTGTCAGATCCACTGCTGGATCTTACTGGGAGTTTAAAAGGATAATAATGCAGGAGGAAAGGAGATGACTTGGTTCCCTTATGTCCCAGCTGTCCTGGTCAGGAGGTTCCCAGCCAGCATGGGCAGGGAATAATGTGGGAAGAAATAGTGTCATCCAAGTCTGAGCTTCCCCAGCCTTTGGAGAGGAGGAGGGGGAAAGCTCAGAGCTGGGACTTTGTTCCAGGCAAGTAACATTAAACATTCAAGGATGGCAGAGGGATGGGATGGAAGGGTGTGGGTTGCCATGCACATGCAACTGGAGAAGGAGACTTGTCTCAATGAGATGATGACCAGGGAAGATGAAGCAGGGCAGAGGTTTCCCCATGGTTCACAGCTGCCTGAGGAGGAGCTGGCAGTCTGTTGTAATCTTGACCTGCTGTGAAACAACTTCTGCCTCATCAACCAATATCCAAAGAATTTCAGCCCAAATTATTGTGTCTGCAGTTCCCAAGTGTTGTTGCAGTCTAGGGATGCACTCCTACATACAGCTGACAGCTAACCATGACTTGGATAGCCAGACCCTCCCCATGCTCTCCATATCTGAGTCTCTTGGACCACATCACCTGAGTGAAGACAAGGAGCCCTGGAGCACCACCCTCCCTCCTCTTACCTCTGTATGATTCGATAGGAGCCACTGGGCCAGAGTTTGGTTTGAGCCGGATGAGTTTTGAGCTCTTTGAGGACGCTTAAGAGAAATCAGAGACATGCTTTTTCTCACTGCTTAACACCACGAGCAGCTCTGCCACGAGAACAATGCCAAGCCAGGAACACCCCTCTCTATTTCTGCACCAGGAGCTGGGAGCTGCTAAATTCCTCCTCCTCTTCTCCCCCCCCTCGAAGTTTGATGCATGAAAAACTCCATGCGCGGCTCTATTGCAGAGCTGGGAGGAGCTACTCACACATCTTCCTACCCACTTTATGCACCTTCAGTGGTGTGGATTGGGTTGGTTGGGACAAGGATCTACAAGTCTAAACAGCTTAAAAACAACATCTACAGTGTTTGGTGGTGGTCACCACCAAAAAGCTGCGAGGAGGAAAAGTGCTACGGAGGTGGGATCTGGCAGGGGGTGCTACAGGGTCCCGCAGAGCAGGTGCTGCCCCAGCCTGGCCCGTCCCCAGCAGCACGTACCTGGTTTTTTGCCGTGCCTCTTGCCTGCAGAGTGTGCTGTGCGCCCTGCTTTGCTCTTCGGAGCCGCTACGGCAGAGGACAAAACACGCCTGAGAGCTGTGATGGGCAGAGGGCTCCCAGGGCCAGCCCAGTACGGCTGGGCTGGGATGTTTCCTCGGGGCAAGGGGCTGCCCCAGCCGGGATAGGGCTCTCTGGGGGCTGTGCTGCCAGCCAGACCCCCGTCCCACATGGAATGACCCAGCGCTGGGGGTAAAGGCCATCGAGCTGATGGGGTTTGGTTGGTGCTTGGGGGGTTTTGCGCTTTGGTGGAGCAGCACTGAGGTCCCACAGGGTGTTTGGGAAGGGGTCTTGCTGTTTATTTGTGGAACACAAGCCCTGGCAAGCACTGTGGGGCTCAGGGAGGCGCTGGGTGGGCACTGCCAGCTACAACCACCTGTGTCAGTCACGTCCTGACAGCAACAGCCCTCAGTGAGAAGGGGGTCATGGCTCTGAGGAGGCTCCACGGGCTGTTGGGAACAGGGTGATCTGCTAACAAGGCTTGGCCCTAATGGGCCAAAGCAACCCATCAGCCCAATTAACCTTGCCCAATTGACTTTGGCCATGGCATAAAACCCCTTCCCAAAGAAGCCCTTGGGCTCTCCCAGCCCCAAACATGTCTCCAAAGAGACCTCCATGGGGCTGGAGGAGCAGAACTGAGCTGAGATGGACTCTGCAAGAAGGAGACTAGATTATTTGATGGTCATGCTGAGGACAGGTGGGTTGTCCTGGCCTATGGCACTGAGGGAGAAACCTGCCCTGTCCTGACCCTGGGGACGGGCACAGCCTTACCTCGCATGTTCTTGGGAGGGTCTGGGGGCTTCAGCTTGCGTCCAAGTGCTGCTGTGTTTGGTGGGACATCACAGGTGGCATCAGAGAGAACATCAGATTTAACACAGATCCCCCCTTGTTTGCTTACAAAGGTGGCAAAGGGACACTGGAAGCTCTAGGCAGGTCTCTAGGGTAGGTGGGCGGAGCCGTATCTGGTTGAGGATGTGCTGAAGCAGGAACGAGAGACAAAGTCTCCTGAAAATTAGCATTTCTAAGCGTGAAGAGAGACAGGGAAAGTGTTCCTAAGGGGAGGCTGTGGGAGCTGCTGGGTGGCTGAGTGTTGGCATGTGGTCTTTACATTGCCCAAGCACAGAGAGAAGCCAAATCTGCAGACCACTGTCAGGACTCAGCACAGCCCTCCTGGTTCAGCACAGACTGTCAGCACCACCCAGCCCTGATGGCTGTGGTGTGGCTCTATCCCTTGTTACTGCACCAAATGCAGCTTTGTCTCTCTGTGAGGCCAGAGACAGGCCCAGGGTGCCCTGTTCTGCACTGGAAGTGATGCCAGTGTCTACAGCAGGAGCAGCTACAGGATCTTGGGTGGGAAATGGGAGCTGAGCACCAGTGGGCAGCTGCTGAAGTGTGTGCTGGTGGGAACCCTGAGGAGGAGAAGCTTCAGCCTCGACAGTCAGTGTGAAACCTCCCAAGATTCCCACCAGGAGCAGCTCACCTTAGGCAGTCACTCAGGAGAACAAGAAGGCATCTATGCTCTAGACAACACAGGCTTATCCATTTACAGAGTGATTCTGCTCTACAAACAGGCTCTGGTCTCGGGAGATGACAGGATTTCCATGATCCTCTCCGTTCACCCCAGCAGCAAGCTGTGAACAATCCCTTCTACCACTTACCATCCTCATCTTTCATGTACACGACTAAACCCCGAGGCTCAAAGCAGCCTCACCAGAGTCCCAGCTGCGTGCAGGGCACAGACAAACCCCGAGCTCTTTCCCAGGTGGAGGAGGAGAGAGGCATGGAAAGCAGAGCTTCAGAGCTGGAAACTAAAGCGTTCTCAGAGCACCAGGAGCTGGTTCTCACTGGCAGGACCCAGCTCAGCCACTGAGTGGCTCCTACCTTCTGCTCCTGGGCCAGCCTGGGCCGGGGGAGAGCCCACCTGCAGCGGGGCAGCCGCCGACAAGTCGGTGTAGTCTTGGAGTGATCAGAGGGGAAAGGTGTGTTACTGGGTGTGCTGGGAGGGCTGGTGTCCCACGAGCAGCCCTGCAGAACCCCGAGGGGGAGCCAGAGCCCCAAACCAAACCCCCCAACCCTGTGCCACTCGGGTTCTCGCACCTGCTTGATGCCAGCACTGCTGCTGGCACAGGGTGGCCAGTGTGTCCTCAGGCTCTGGAGGGGCTGGGAAGCCCTTGGATTGGGAGGGGCAGGATGGCAGTGTGTGCTGAGCTGCCCATTCTCAGCTCAGCTCAACACACTTGTTTCCTCTTGTATTTGCATCAGCACCTGCTCTGCACCCCTTTGAAATAACAGCGCTGAGAAACAGCACAGGTGTCTTGGGACAGAGGCACCAAGTCCTGGTTCCTAATCCCAACTTCCAGGCCTTCCCTCAGGCTCTGCCCTTCCCTCAGAAAATGCCAGTTTGCAGGGAAATTAAACCAGCAAGAAATTTATAGCTCACTTGTTTGATTTCCCTGCAAACCCTCACCCCCACTGGCTCCATCCCCCTCCCCAGCTCCTCAGTATTGGTAACAATCTTCAGGTTTGCTAGAAAACAAACCAAGGACTAAAAATTTTAAAAGCCATATTATTAATTTCGAGCTCCAGTTGGGTAACATAAGGAGGAGGAGGAAAAAAAAAAATCAAAAAAAAAAATCTCTTGATCCTTGCCAAGTTTCAAAGGACAAACCCGAGTAGGAGAAAAATGTGATTTCCC